CTGACCTGGCTAAGTTTGGCACCCTTTTTTAGAAGGGCTGTGGAGAAGTTGGGCCTCAAAGAAGTACTTTCAGTATTACTGTAGTTATGGGAAGTAAAAATTCATTTTAATACAGAGTAAAATTTGAAGAAATAGGTCATATTTAAATAAGAGAAGGTATTTAGAGAACTACCCCAGTGGTTAGAGGTTTTAGCTACTAAGGTGAAATTTTAATATCTCCTGCATGTTTGACAAAAAAGGAAATTGTAGTCAGCAACCATGTGATTTGGGCGTGTAAACAGACTGAGGGTAGAATAAGGAAATCAAGAAGCTAAAAGCAATCTCAATTGTATCCAACTGTTGAAACTTTACTTAAACTAGAGTATGAAAGCTACTTGACAATATGAGCACAAAGCCCCCCCAAATAATTAAAAAAAGGAAAGCAGATATGAATGCTCTTAACAGTGCAAAAACTCACATCTGTTAAACGCACACAGCACCTGTTTAAATGCAACATATATTTTATATTGACCTCTGCAGTCAATTTTAATCAAAGGTCGCGCAACTATTTTAACGTGATTGGTTTCAACGGTTTAAATTAAACCCACAGTTTTGCTGTGAAACTGAAAAGCTTGTGAACTGACAGCCAAGCACACGTGGAATGACTTCCAGTAGACTTCTATTTTTAAAAAATCTGGATCACTGTGTTCTAAATCCTAGATCATACGTAGAATGTTGGCCCAGGAAGGATCCTTAGCAAGAATGGCCCAAGCCTCTCATTAGACAGGTGACCAAGGTGAGGCCGGAGAGGTGTGAGTGACACGGATGGTCATGCTATGAATCCATGGCCTCCAGCTCGGAAGCTCTCCTGAAATGAACGAGGGTAGGCTTGAACAGACCCGTGTGGCTCTGTCGAGATTTCTGAAGCTCTACAACTAGCTCCCTGGTCATTCCAGCTTTAGGCCTTTGCCCTCTTAATACATGGCTAGGCAAACCAAATATATCAGAGACCTAAGGAGCTGTGTATTTGCCCCACAAGCCTTGTGGACATGGCACCCCTGGGGAAGGGGCTGCATCGTGGTGACTGTCCATGCTGCAGGTGCGGAGGGATTGGTGTGGATGTGCACCCTGTACTCCTTTGTTAGACCGGGGTGGTTTGAACTTCACCTTCAGTAGCAAGTTCATCCAAATAGTGGGTCCCCCGTGTTCACGGCCCCATGCTTCAGGGATCCAGAGTCCACTGGCTGTAATGTTTCCTCCAAAGGCACCATTCCCTGTCCCTGGTACACAGTTCGAGAACATCTACCTCTAAATCTTAGCATACCAATTTCCTCATGCCATTGGCTTGTCTGTCTCCACCTTCCCCCCTTCTTTAACCTGAGACCATGTATACTTCTGGAGAGAGAAAGGGATCCTAGCTCTTGTGCACTTTTGTTTTATAACGACTATAGAAGCTAATGCCAAGTTTTGTTAGTGAAGTGCACTTGAAGTCATCTTAGAAAGAGGTACCCTGTAAGAAGCGTGCTGAATCCATGTGGAGCTGGCCGCTGTCTATTAAAGTGCGTCTATCTTTGCAGTCTCTTAGAGACCCTGGTTGATTACAGAGAAAAATATTCGTTTGGAACCACTTGGACTTGGCAAAGGTAATTTTAAAAACACACAACTTAGGTCCATTTGTGGTGCTCCTCTTAGCAGAGGCTGCAACCGCTAATAGTTCCAACTTCCCCTCTGGAGAAGCAAATGACATCAACTTAAAACAAGATCTCACCACCCCTCCTCATTACTTTTCCCTTTTAGACCTGACAGTAAACTACATAATTTGTCACTCCTTTTCTGACTCCGAAGTGGGTTATTTTGATTCCATGATACAATTTCTCTCGTTTGGAACTGGAGTGCTTTTCAGACATGCAGCCTTGACAAGGATGGGCAGCTGGGCTTTCCTGCATCTGGCCTCAGGCTTTTTCTACAACCTGCTTTACCAGTGGATAGATCAGCTGATGAGTCACATGGTGTTTTGCTGCCGCAAATGACAGAAATAGAGACTCGACCACATGGAGGGGCATCTCAAATGTTTACCAAACACACTGCTCAAAAACATGCTTTTCTATAGTTCAAATGCTTTTTATGAAAGAGCTGTGTGTGAGGGTGGCTATCTACAGGAGGCAGGCAGGAGCGGCTGGTTGTAGGGAATCGGCTGCACGTGCAAAGCAGATGTCTCAACACTTGGAAAGCCCTGCCCATCACAATTGGGGTTACCAACACACACACACCACCAACAACAACAAAAAGAGCAGGACCTGGAACATAAAAGACCCCTTTTCCTGGACGGTGCATCACTTTGGAGACTTCATCTTAAGTTCAGAAGTCAGCTCACCTGCAAAGTGAGAGGCCAGAAACCACGGCCAGTTAAGGCACGTGCTGTCTGGGGCCCTGGTCTGCTTAGAGAGTTATGGAGTAGAAAGATTTTGAAATACAAGAAAATATTTTTCAAGGTCATGTAATTTAATTACTATAGTATAAATACTTTCTATTTTTCAACACAGGTTCTCATTCTCCCACTCTCACAATCCAGAGAACTATTGTCTTAAAATTGTTTACAGAAGCTAAAGTACATAAAAAGTTAGTCTCCCCCCACACCTTCCTACCCTTAAGAAAAGACCCCCAAATGAAGAACAATTGGAGGGAGCTGTTGACTTTTTTTACTTCTTACTCTGAGATATCATTGAATAACTTTTCTGGTATTTGGGGATGGAATGACTAACCCAACCCCAAGAGAGATCCAGAAAAGGCTGCTTGTGAGGGCCACAGAGCCGGGGCCTGGTTGGGAAGCACCCTGGAGGCCAGAGAACATCTAGCTGCTGGAGCTGAACTGCCGTAGAGAGTGGGCCTCCCTCATTGTGGGCCTTCTGCCCCTGCCCCTCCCATGGCTATTTACTGGGAGACTCAAGGGGTGGAAAAGTGCATTTATGATGGTGGAACTTTACTTGGTCCCACCCAATATATCCTAACCAACTGTAAATGTTTGCGGTTCTGAAGGTATCAGCCATCCTTGGACATTTCCAAGGCTAAACTACCTGCTAATGCTAAAACACAACACAGAACAAAACACAAAAACAAAACAGGAAAAGAGGATTTTAGGCACAAGACGAGCCCAATGCAGGCAGGAAGGGGGCACACCTGGCTTTTATGGAGTGATGTAAACCAACAGCTTTCTGGGCCCAGATTAAAGAATTTCAAACAGGTGAGGGGGTCCTGTCAACGTTCAAACACATCCGGAGCCCCGTGGCCGGGGGCCCAACCCTATTGAGGCTTTCCTGGAGCAAGCCTTGCCTGGTTCTTCCTGCTCAATTCCTGGGTGTCTTACTGGTGCCCAGGGCCACCAAGATCCCAACAATTGGGGGCAGAGCACACACATATGTTTAGAATAACCTCACATATGCCCCTCAAAAGGGCAGGGAGGCCACAGAAGTTGCTGCTCTGACCTGGGCTTGTGCAGAGAAAACCCTCCACCCAGAAAGACTGCTTTGAGCTGCCCAAACTCTCATTAGCATTTAAATTAAAAATCCCTTTATGCTCCTGTAGTTTTAGATTCTCTTTGTCCACAAGCAATCAACAGGAGGAAAGTCACACCAGGTCTTTTCATGGTCCTTGACCTGAGACCCTCACGGGTATCACACCCTTCTAAATACATCAGCTGAGCTACCTGCAATTAAAAAAACCCAAAAAAACCTGTGTTGTCCTGGCAGGTGTGGCTCAGTTGGTTGGGCATTGTCCCATGCACCTAAAGGTTGATGGTTTGATCCCCGGTCAGGGCACATGCCTGGGTTTTGGGCTCGATCCCTGGCAGGGGCATGCAGAAGGCAGCCCATCGATGTTCTGGTCTCACATTGATGTTTCTCCTTCCCTCTCCCTTCCTCTCTCTAAAAAAAAATCAGTAAAAAAATATGTATTTTTTAAAGGCCCAAAACCTGTGTTGGGAGAACGTTTCTTTGGTCAGCAAAGTCAAAAGAGTGCCCCTCCCTACTCTGAAAAGTGGGAAGACGTGCCCCCACTTCTCTGGTTTGGATGCCTTTCCTGTCCATGGTGGTCGGAATAGATGCAGAAGATCCTGCAGTGATAGGTTTTGCTTTGGAAGGTAAGGTGTGTGTGATTGTCAGGCTGGGACCTGTGTAGCCCAAGTGAAGGAATTGTGGGAAAGGTCGTGTGCGTCAAGGCCAAAGGACTTGGACACGTCCTGCACAATCCCAGTTCTGTCATCGTGGTCTGGGTCTGGGGGTTGCTTCCTGTGTTCTCCAAAATTCTACCAAAATATCATAGTCTGTGAATCTGTCACCGAGGGGGCGTGTGAAGTCCTACCAACATGTTCTAGTTATCTAATGGAGTCTCTAGTTGATCTCTGATTTAGAGGGAAAGAATTAGCTTTCTCACTTTTAAACTCTAACCCCACAGCATGAAATAGTCACCCATGTTTTTAAAAAAAAAAATACTGCTGTTTTATTTTCTAGTTATGTACTTTAAAAAAGCCAATACAATTAGATTTCCCCCCATCTTCTCCAGATCTGCCCCTGAAACCACCCCAAAGCTATGCATGTTGATTTTCAGTGCTTGTATCTACAGAGGAGCACATGTGGGTTTGTCCTGGTGGGGGCACCCCCAAGCATCACCGGGTGTCCAGAAATGTGAACGCAGCCCTGTGATGCTCACGGCTGACTTTATGCCCTAACACTCTTTTTTCTATGAGGAACAACAGGATCACACAGCACTGAAAACAATACATACAAAAGTCTTGCCTTTTAAAAAAGTCTTTTTTGCCCTTCCAGCATCTATTTCCATCCTCACCAGTGCCTACACCAGCTGACTCATTTATCCCTGTTAACCATGGTTAAAAATAGTTCTGTCATTTACTGGTCCTTATATTTATGTACAAATGACAGGCTTTGTAAAACTGCTACAAATACGAGACAATGTTCACCGATACAATATGTTTCAACTGCAGATATGCTGACACACAAGCAATCACCTTATTGTATTAGAGACATTTTATTGAAAATGCGAAAATAGGAAATGTATTATAGCCTAAAATAAATTACATAACATATACAGTATATATTTATATCTTTAAAATATTTTTGTGTCTAGGTTCTTTCAGTCTAGGAATTTTGACGAAATCAAGAATTTACTGAACTGTGTCCATATTTTTTTTTTAAAGAAAAAACCCGCTTTCCAAAACTTAGAAAAATATACTGCACTAAATGGATTTCAAATATGTCATCTCAGGGAACATCACATAGTGACTCTGAAATTGTTTATAAAATGTCTTGCTTTATCTTGAGAGGGGAGTACATGTAGAATTACCTGTACCGCATAGTTATGACTAAGAATGGCTGAACCAGGTCGTACATCTACTGCAGAAGTTATGATACGGCCGCCTGGCATTAGAATGCTAGATTATGACTTAAAGCTGCAGTTCACGGTAAAAACTAGAAGTGTAGAGTTAGAGCAACTCCATTTCCCTTGCTCTAGTGCCACCTTCAGGAGAGGTGAGTGAAAAACGAGCCTTCGGGGGAAGCCATGCGGAAGGATGCTGCAGTTTGGAGGTGCGGTGTGTGACGGGTGTGTGACAGGACAGGGTTACGGTTAGCTCAGGTATGTACACGCGGGCGGGCGGGCGCGGTGTGAGCGCTCGCGACCCGGGAGGAGGGAGGAGGCGGCGCCGTGGGCTGGCGGCTCCGGGGGCATCTCAAGCTTCCCTGCGGGAGATCATCTCCCTCCCTCTGCCCAGCGCGCTCTCAGGTCCTTCCTTCAGCGTGGACAGCCCGTCCAGGCCGCAGCTCTGCCCAGGTGCAGCGCACAGGCGACGATTCCGCGGTGGAGGCCACCGGGGTTGCCTCGCTCTGCACAGCCACGTTCACAGAAAGCCCAGTTGTAACCTGTTGAATCTGAAGGGAGATGCACAGGGACAGGGTGGAGCGTGTGGCCTGCTGGGCAGTGGTGGCCACGGGGTGACGGATGGCAGAGCCGTAGTCCTTTGGTTCCAAGCAGAGATCGTCCGTGGGAGAGGGGGACAACTTGGACTACGAGGCAGCTATGTCTTTTGAGTTTTCATGAAGCGGGGGCATGGAGTCAAGTGTTTTGTTGGTTTTTACAAAGCAACGGCAGAGACCATTCTCTAGGTCCCCGCCTGGGTGTGGGCACACCCAGGATGCCAGAGTTTACACGAAACCTTCGAATCGAGGCCTCTTTCGTCACCAAAACCAAAGCAACTACGCGACGGGAGAGGAGGTGCTGCTGGAGTGTGATCCCAGCCGTCCCTGCAGCGCCCGTGTGCCGTGAGCTACTCATTCTCCTCTCTCATTTCCACGATATCCGTCCCCTCCTCTGCTGGAGGTATGTCCGTCATGGCGGAGTCCTCCCCCTCCACGGCTGGCCCGCTCTCCTTCTTTTTCTAGACCAAAGAAGACACGTCAGGGTGGGCTATGCCAGGGGCACATCAGAGCAGAGCCAAGAGCAGGGGAGGCCGCCAGGGGCCTGGGGAATGGTTGGGGTGACCTCACCGAGGCTGCGCCTTAGCTCAGCTCGTGCCTCTCCGTTTCGTGACTTGGGCTCTGGCTGTGTGCCTGGCACTGTGTCAGGCACTCTGGGCGATCCTGTCCCAATGACTGCCCCCAGTGCCCTTTGGAACGCACCGTGAGCTGATGGAAACCCGCCTCTACCTGGGGACACCTCTTCCCCGCCACCCTGCCCTTTCTGGCGGGGCTGTGCTCCCCCCTTCTCCCCGCACCGTGCAGTCCCCTTCCCTCGGGAAGAGCATGTGACCTGACGCTGCTCCTCCCTCGGGCCAGCCCCGGGCTCGCTGCCCTGCTCTCCCACCCTGCCCTCGGCCTGTCCTAATTCCAGGCGGCTGCCCTGCCACGCTGCCCAACTTGCGGGAACCGGCCTCTTGATGCCCTGACCCTACGGAGGGGGCCAGAAGGACCAGATGAATATGAGGTGTCGCCACCACTGTGGGCTCTCAGGGAGCCCAGTCTTCCCACACCTGGGAGAGGGCTTCCCAGACACGGCAGGCGTGTGTCTGTGACCATGTCTCACCTGTTTCCGGTAGACATAGCAGGCGGCTATGGCTACCATGGTGGATTCTCCCACAAAGCCCGCGAGGAGGGAGCCCACACCCAGGGTGGCTCCGTGTACCCTGGCGATGAGAGCGCAAAAGCCGTTAGTTTGTCAAAGCTATGCTGAGGCACACAAGGCCCAGCCGAAGCCCAGGACAGGCCGGGTGCAAACAACAGAGGCACCGGACAATTGCATTCAAGGTCTGCACCTAATAAATGGTGCACTGCATGGGGAGGGGGACCTGGGCCTCCAGGCAGGGCCATCCCCCACTCCCCCTCCGGGTCTCAGCTCCGCATCTGCAGGTGGCCGGGCCATGTCCCCACCCCTCGTGAGCCCGCAGCGCCTCCCACTGTCCTCTGCGCAGTGTGGGTTTCCAGGCTGGAGGGACTGAATAACACCCCTTCCGTGGGAGACTGGGAGCCATGGTTGGTGCTCAGTGAATCTTATGTATGGGCGTGACCTCGAAAGTACTTTTCTAGAATGATCTCAACAGCCTCCTGTCTAGTGCACAGGCAGAAGTGCTCACAGACCCAGCCCGGACGACTTACCCCAGGTAGGGCAGGACCACAAGGCTGGTGATGAGGACAATGATCCGAAGCACGGAGCTGGGGGCCAGGACAAAGGTCTTCTTCAGCGTCATCAGCCACCCAGTGAAATGGGCCCTCACAGTGACTAGGGGAGAGCAGAGGGTTCGTCAGCGACGACCTACTTCTCCAGGTCCCGCAGCCTTTAGCTTCTAGCCTCTGGGCAGCACATCAGGGCCCCTGGGCAGCTGGCTGGGACCCAGACCTTGCTGCTGCCCGGGCGTCACCTCCTTTTTCTGCCAGGTTCCTTATCCCTGCTTCTGGGCCTGGGGCCCTACCCTACCTCACCTCCTACCTCATCTCCTGCCCCATCCCTACCGCAGCTCCCGCCCCATCAGAGCCCTTAGGGTCCAGACGGTGAGTGGCTGCAGGCAGCTCCCTTCCTCCACGGTGACTGCTCCTGGGACAGTCCTGTCCACTTCTGCCCCACCCCACCCTCAGCCTCAAGCTCTGATCCTTCTTCCCCAGAAGAGAGAACTCAGAGAAAAGAGAACTTGATGGTGATCAAACCTGATTCTGAGTGAAGAGAAAAGCTGGACCGGAGCCCAGAGGCAGAGGTGTTGGGGACGGGGGGCTGCTCTTGTCCACTTCCCCTGCTTCCTCCCAGCCATCCCCGGCCACTGAAGCCTCAGACATCTCCCTTCCTCCTTCCCCCGACAGTTCCCGGCTATTCTGATAGGCGGACATTTACAGAGACCTCGTCCTGCCTCCCCATCCAGACACGAACTGCAGGAGGGCCGGGCGCTCAGCCTGAGAGCAGCGGGGGGCTCCGGCGACATGTGTGAATTTAGTTTGGAGGAAATGAACACTGTTATCGGCAAGAAGTGCCCTGGATGTCTAATCTGAAGCTGGGGGTGGGTTTAAGGAAGCGCGAGGCCTAGTTCCTTCTCCCCTGTGGGTGGGACCTTGTGAAGGGGAAGGAAGTGCTCACTCCTGGGGTGAAAGCTCCTGTCCAGGGTACATTTGGAAGAGGAGCTGCTGTCCTCCTGGTCTAAGGGTGTGCCCTACCCACATTGTATTTAAGAGGCACATACACACACTTGGGTCTGGCCAAGGGCAAAGGCGAGGGCGTGCAGATGGAATGCTAACCTGGTTGCCCTNTGCCCTGCCCACATTGTATTTAAGAGGCACATACACACACTTGGGTCTGGCCAAGGGCAAAGGCGAGGGCGTGCAGATGGAATGCTAACCTGGTTGCCCTGAACCCAGAGGGTTGCAAAGATAGGTGGAAGCTGATGGCTGTCCAGAAGCCCTTAGGATGATAAGGGAGGAAGTCTGGGCCAGAGGAGAGAGGTGAGCCCCACCCCAGTCTGGCTGGAGTTCTCTGGGACCTCCAGCCCCTCCTCCGGTCAATACTATGCCTTAATTACAGTGAGGGCAGCCACCTTTAGGTGGCATCTCCTTCTAAAACTTGGCTCCCCAGTGTCCTGTCTCCCCTCCGCCCCAACAAGTGGCCCTGATCCTCCATTCCTGCCGCAGCTGAGAAGGTGACACGGCGAGAACCAGCCTCCAGGAATGCTCAGCCTCTAAGAGCAGGGCGGCTTGTGGCCGACTCGGGGACAGCATGGGGCTGGCGGGAGCGCCACTGGCTCTGGCCTGGCTTCATGGCCCATTTCTCAGCCTCACTGTGGCTCTCCAGATTTTGGCTTCTCAGCTCAATGATTGGGGTGGAATTTTGGGGCCATAAAATTTGTAACAGGTAACAACATGCGCTTGGTACGGAATATAGTACAAAGGTCTTCCTCCCAGTCCTGACTCCCTGGGGCCCTTGTCCTTCCCAGAGGCAACCACTGTTAGCACTTTGGTGAGTTACTGCTAGAAATGGTCCGTAGACACGCAAGCTCTTAACCTAAACATAGTATATACAGACCTACATATATGTGTGACACATGTTATAGAAAAGGCAGCATAGTAATCAACCGCTCTGCAGCCCGTTTTTGTCGTTCCATAAAGAACTACCCCCTCCTTTATGGCATACCTCCCACTACTCTGTCGGTTTGGGAATTTTTAAACCGGCTTCTATTTTGGTGATGGGCTTTTCCTGCCTGGCCATGTGCCACCTGGCCTCAACTTCTGCCTCCCCAGCAGTCCCTCTCTTTTTTTGTACCTCTCCAGGTTTTACAGTCTACCTCCCCCCATTTTACTTGTTAAATTAACACACCTAAAGATTGACTTTTGAATATACAGTTCTAAGAATTTTAATACCGGCCTAGATTCGTGTCACTAATACCACAATCAGAATGCAGAGCAGTTCTCTGCCCCCAAATTTCTCACACTGTCCCTCTGGGTCTACTTTCTTTTCACTGTGTGTGCAACCGCTGTCCTCGAAGAAACAAATTGTTCCTGTTCGATTGGTTTCTTGAACTTTCATCCTATTGTGTAACATCTTTGTGTCTGTCTTTCCAATCCACTGTGAAAACTTACATTTTTGTTTGGGACATGATTGCAAACATTTCCAAAGAAAGAAGACAGAATCGGGCATGAAGGTAAATAGAAAGGTGTCTTTCATTCTGTTTTTCTGTACCTGGGACCGGGAAGAAGGAGAAGATGCGCAGAGGAACGACACAGAGTTCTGCAAAGGCGAAGTCCACGCCAATGATGTCTATCAAAATTTTCTCGGAAACGTTGGGGGTCCAGAACATCACGAAACAGAGCTGAGGGGGGAAATAATCAGCCAGGTTGTGAGGAAAACGCATAAAAGAGTGGAACAAGAGAGTCACGTGTTCTGTCATCCCGCAGAGCTCAGATAGAGGTGATCCTGCCCAAGCAGGTGGCTGGCTACCCGTCCCCGAGCCACCATCACCCTGCTTTGTCCTTACCTGGCCCACCTGCCACATCCACCCCACAGGGCCCGGGGCGGCAGGGCAGATGTGGACACGGCTGAGTGGGTGACCAGGCCAGGGAGGGGGACCAGTGTGCTCTCATGGAAGGCTTAACCAGACTGCTAGTTAAGGGCGAGCATATTAACGCAATTTTTACAGCTTTCACCAAATAATAAAAAGTGAGCATCAGAACCACTGAGTCAGCACAGCCAATGAAAACGGAAATGGCAATGCTTAGGTGAACTACAGGCCAGAGGATGAGAGACAGCAGCCATGGAATGGGGAACTTTGCAGAGCAGGGGGAAGTGGGGCGAAATCATGCCCGTTCCCAAATAATTCTCTCCCTTTCTTAAGATGCAAGTGAGCGATTCTTTTCTAAAACAAAAGTGAATATATTATAAGATGAATTACAGTCTTGTAAAAAGAACACTGAAATTTTAGATTACCACGCTCTTTAGGCTTTGGGTAAATTAAGTTTCATGGAATTAGGCTAGTCCTATTTACAATGTCATCTTGAAATATTAAAAAAAAAAAGTGCCTTGGAGGATCTAGTACATGTTTCACTTGATAAGTGCAATGGAGTTTTTATTCTGTTGTGTATTTTTCAGCACCTGGGAAGAATATCCCCTTGGTTTTCAAAAGTGACAGATGTACTATCATTGAACCCTATTGCCTGCTGCCAGTACTTACAGCCCGTCTTTGAGATGAAGGGAAAAATACTTCCTTAGATGTAGCAACTCGGAGCTCAGAGGCTTTATCACCTAGTGGCCTGGGCAAGTAGCCCTGTCATCATTTGTCCCACGGCAAAGCTGCCAGCCTGAAACCGTGGGCGTGGTATGGCTCACGCCTACAGCCCAGGTACGGCGGCAATTTCATATCGCAGCCTCAAAATGACACTGAGCACAGCAGTGGGACACAATTGATTTCCCTGAGGAATATTTTCCATGGCGGTAAAGCTGTAATGATTAAGATAAGTGAACACTGCCCCAAGTCCAGACTTGACTTGTGTCTCAGGACCCACGGAGGGTAAGTCATCCTGTGCATCCTCAGTGGTTGGAGTGAGACCCCTAGGCCATACTCTGCTAAAAATTAGAGTTTCCAGGACGATCGCTGTAGAGCTGTGTGTATTTTATAGCCAGCGATGATCTGAATCTGAGATAATGTCTCATGTTGCAATCTCTCTGTGCTTTGCAAAATCACTGTAAAGTGGCTTTTAGGTTACAACAAACCGAGGGGAAAGGAGGGTGTCGTTGCATGTCAGCCAGGATGGTGCAAGCAAGTGCATCCGTAAAGCCAGGTGATTCCCCTCTCCGGATTCTCTGCATGGATGATGGGCACCTGGAGGCTTTTTACAGTCTTGGAGGACATGACCAATAACCTTTGGAGGAGGGAATCCAATTGGAGGACACAACAATAGTGTGTGCACCCAAATCACTTGATATATATCTACATAAATACTCAGGAACCAGGGCTGATGACCACAGTTCTGGCCCCTTGAAAACAAAATGTTAAGCTTTGATGGATCCCTAATAGAGCTTCCCAGGACAGCGGTTACAATATTCCATTTCCAAAATTCCACAGTGTGATTGAACTTGGCACCACTAAACCACTCTGTTCTCTCTCTGGTACCTATCTTTGCCACGCATGCCCTAAATACCCCTACCCAGGCCACATGCTCCTGAGGTGCCTCTTCAGAGTTTTCAGCCACAGAGGTCTACAGCCTAGGTGGTGTCTTCTAGAACAACTAACTGAAAGCTGTGAGCATGGTCTGGGCTTGAGCAATTACAGGTAATTATTTAAAGGGAAAGAATGCCACATGTAACAAATCGGAGCTTCCTTTCTTTTTTTTTCTGAAATCTCTGAATTCCACCCTCGGCCTTCGCTGTGCTTCCAGTATGAAAATGCTCCTTGCTTTCCAGTAAGTTCCTAAAAAAGTGACTATTTCTTGCATTTCCCAGAAAGGAATACATGCAACACAGAAGTAGGTATGGTGGTGGTTAAAAGCTGCAATACCACCCTGGCCGGAGGTGGCTCAGCGGTTGAGCATCGACCTAGGATCCAGGAGATGGCAGTTCTATTCCCAGTCAGGGCACATGCCCGGGTTGCGGGCTTGATCCCCGGTTAGTTGGGGGCCTGCAGGTGCAGGAGGCAGCCGATCAATGATAACTCATCATTGATGTTTCTCTCTCTCTCTCCCCCTCTCCCTTCCTCTCTNCAGTTGGGGGCCTGCAGGTGCAGGAGGCAGCCGATCAATGACAACTCATCATTGATGTTTCTCTCTCTCTCTCCCCCTCTCCCTTCCTCTCTCTGAAATCAATAAAGATATATATATATATTTTTAAAAAGCTGCAATACCTATCTGCAGGTCAATGTTTCCTAAGAAAAATATTGAGCCCCAGCATAATAATCAGAGCAAATGTAACCAGTCTGCCTCAGAAAACAGGAAGCTTTAGAAGTTAACCTAACAAAGAATATTTCAGGAAAGTGTCATTCTAATGAGCTCACCCAGAGTAGTATTGACTTAGAACATGCCCTCCCAGTTGACCATGACTTGCCGTGTTCCTCAAATATTTGCAGAGCCTAACGACATTGACTTTTCTAAATCAGGACACAAACCTAATAATAAACTACTGACAATGAACGTGATTTGTTCCTTTGAGCAGCTGCAGGGCTGGCTTTTCTGCTGCAGAGCTTGCTGTCAATATTATCTCATTAGGAAGCAGCCATTTAACCACCCACTCGGTGCCCAGATCTTGGTTTTTCTATTTATCTTCCAATAGAAGGACCCAGGGCTTCGTGGCGAGATGGCTCATTCTAGGACTAGGGCTGGAAATATACAAGATGATCAGCCTGGAATAATAGTAAAAGGACACGAGAGCCCAGCAGAAAGTGTTCCCAATGGGCAAAGCTGAAACAATTTGAGCAACAAAATATACAGTGTAGTGCTGAATCATGACCCAGAGTACACAGTAAATACCCAAGAGTCAATACTGATATAAACAAGCAAACAGGGCAGATCTCTTGCACAGAATTTCAACTAATGTATGTAGATACTGTCCTCTCAGGGAGGCGGAGCACATCTACACCTCCCCTTCCACAAATGTGGGCTGACCATGGGAACTGCCTTCCAGGGAGACTGTGGCAGGGAAAGGGGGGGAAAGTACCTTTACAGCGGAGAGACCTGGCAAAAGACCTCGGCCACGTGACCAAGGTCAACATCAGCAGTGATAAGCCATGTTGATAGCAGGTACTATTGATAGGATGTAATGGGACTGGCATGTTACCTNACCTGGCAAAAGACCTCGGCCAGGTGACCAAGGTCAACATCAGCAGTGATAAGCCATGTTGATAGCAGGTACTATTGATAGGATGTAATGGGACTGGCATGTTACCTAGGTGGTCTTCCTCCCCCAAATCCAAAGCCTCCTCTAACCTCAGCAAAACCTCAAATTGAGGCAATTTCTACACAAAACCTAATGAGTACTCCTTAAATTCACAGACCAGAGGAGGCTAAGGAGACAAGATGGCAACGTGGATGGGGGCCTAGAGCAGAACAGGGATGTGAGGGGAAAGCTAGTGAAACCTGAATGACCCGTGGTGTTTAGTTGATAGTAACGTATCAGTGCTGGTTTCTTAGCTGTGACAAATGAACCACAGCAAAGGAAATGTAAAATAATTCTGAAATAAAAAGGTTATGAAGGAGGGGGAG